AAAAATTAGTTTCATGATATACATGTCAGGTTTACTAAATTAATAGAATCATGTAATGATCACCAAAATCAAGAAATACCGTAGTCTCATTACCTTAGGAAAATCACATCAATGTTCTGACTTCTGTCTGGTATTCTCTAAGATCCATTCAAATCCAAGTAGCCTTTGTGCTATTCAGTGCTGATGGAACCCCAAAGACAGAAACCATGAATCAGAAAAGCAGGGGCAGGTCTATGATACTTTAGATCTGTCAAAGTGTCTATTTGCATGGAGGTCTGGTGGAATGAATTGATTTTTGTTTTTTTTAATATTTTATTTATTACTTTTATTTTATGTGTATGTGTATATTGCCTGCATGTAGGTAAGTGCACTTGTGTCGTGCAATGCCTGCGGAGGTCAGAAGAGGCTGTCAGACCGCTGGGACCAGAGTTACGGACAGTTGTTAGCTGCCATGTGGGTGCTGGGATTTGAACCTGGGTCTTCTGCAAGAACAACCAGTGTTCTTAACACTAAGCCATCTCTTCAGTCCCATGAATTGATTTTTGTTATGGTGACACAAACTCAAAATACAGCTGGGCTCTAGATGAGCTCATGACTTGTTAACATGGCATATAAGAAATTTCAATGTTAATAGCATGCTTGCTGCTTTTTATTTTAACAGCTGGATCAAGCAACACTTTCCCTAGCTGTGAGGGAAGACTACCTTGATAACAGCACCGAAGCCAAGTCTGTAAGTCTTACTCATGTTCACTATGTGTCTTGTCAGTCCACTCTTCGATTCATTAGTTGTTGTAAAATGTCTGTTTCCTCCTTGGAAATTAACATTGTGACTGCTCACTGAACAAATTCTCAATGTAGAAAACAGATATCTTTTATTTGGGCAGATAGTTCTCCTTCTGATTTGTAGAAGTTGGAGCATCAAGGCTCTGTAAGTTGCCTGTTCAATGCCCTTATCACCTAGATGAGAAAATAGCATATGAAAATGAAGAAACCAAGAAATGAGTTTGCAATTATTCTTCAGAATAGCAAAGCATTCAGTATCCTATGCTGAGGTGAAACATAGGGAGGGACATCTAGGAGACCAGTAATACTTACAACTGTATGGCTTAAAAATCTAATACGTGTCAAGCCCCGGTGAGTCTGATTTAGCAGACAAGATGGTGGCTAGGTGTCTATTTTTAACATGTGCTCTGGGTTAATGAAGCTAATGAGAACCAGAGGGGATTGATCAAGTTAGATTTTCTGGCTTAGCTTGGCAACTGAGTATTTTCCTGGACAATGGACAGGGCTAGTTTATTTCTGATACTTAGAATTCATTTTGGAAATTTCATTAAACCTCCAAATGAGCCTCATACTCGGGTTTCCTGGGTCTGTGCTAATAACTAACCTCTATATGTAGAAGGCTCTGAAGGGCAATAGCCTAGCCCAGATGGTAGGCCTCTTTTAAGTTGAACTTTTGCTAACATAGGGAGCCATTGTTTCTGACGTGGTCTCAGCAAACTCCTCACTATCATCTCCTATGAAATTCTCTCCTCTCTCTAAAAGCAGTCAGCCAAGTTTAAGCAATTTCACCTTTACAAGTAATTCCTCCTGGTCCTTCCTTTCTGTCCTTACTGTTCTGGATCACATTCTTGTCCACACTTACCTTAACTATACCAATTCACAGCTGGAACCTTTTCTTTTCTGTGTATGAGTATATTGCCTGCATGTAGGTAGGTGCACCTGTGTTGTGTAGTACCTGGAGAGGTTAGAAGAGAGTGCCATATCCCCTGGAAGTGGAGTTACAGATAGTTGCTAGCTGCCATGTGGGTGCTGGAAATTGAACTCTCGTCCTCTGTAAAAGCAGTCAGTGTTCTTAACCTCTGAGCCGTCTCTCCAGCCCCATCACTTCGTTGACTCTTTAGCACAACTTGACAAATTCTACTCTCGAGGCATCTAAATTCCTTTCAGGGAGTTCAAGGTTTCGACATTACTTTATTTCAACCTATCTTTCCCAACTCTTCTTTTTTTTGTTCTTCCCTCAACATAAGGACCTTGTTCTCACTGTTCCCAAGCCCATGTTCCTCAAATGACTTTTCTCCAATTGTTCTAAACTGGAATTCTCCAGTACTTCAGCATTCATGCATGCAATGCCTTTATTAAGAAATGTATTTTGGTTTCTTAATGTTATAGCTAGTAATTATATGTTTATCTTCATCTTAGCTCATACACTGAGAACTAGACTCAAACATTACTGAGTTTTCCATCCATAACACCTTCCCCCAACATATGTGTAGAGTGCTGAGCAAGCCACCTTGCATGTGTACTGAGATAGTTGAAGATCATAAAAATAGACTAAGGTCCTACCGCTCTTGAACTCCTTCTTTCCCTTTATCCCCTAGGTTCCTTGTATACCCTTCCCTCCCCCCTCCCTTAAACTAACCCAGTTTTTATCCATATCTCCCTTATTAAGGCCTGTTTCCTACTGTTCTTCTCTTTCAGGTTCTTTCTTTTCCTTTACCTCCCTGGTTCCTTTACATTACCATGTTTCCTGTAGTTATGTCTGGTTACATACTCACTTATCAGGGTTTGGTTCTAGGATCCACATATGAGGGAGAACATAAGTCAATTTTTTTTCTGAGTCTGTGTTACTTCACTTAGTATAACAGTTTCTAGTTCCATCCATTCACCTGCAAATTTCATGATTTCATCTTTCTTTACTGCTGAGTAAAACTCCATCGTATATATGAACCACATTTTCATTATCCACTCGTCAACTGAGGGACACTTAGGTTGCTTCCATCTCTTAGCTATTGTGAAAAGAGCAGCAACAAACACGGATGTACAAGTGTCCATGCAATAGGATGAGTTCTTTGGGTATATGTCAAGGAGTGGTATAACTGGGTCCAATGGTAGGTTCATTTGTAGTTTTTTAAGAGTTCTCCACACTGCTTTCCATAGGGGTTGAACAAGTTTGCAGCCCCACCAGCAGTGGATGAGTGTTCCCTTTTCCCCACATCCCCTCCAACATTTGGTATCATCTGTTCTCTTGATTTTGGCCAGTCTAACTTGGGTAAGATGAAATCTTAAAGTGGTTTTAATTTGCATTTCACAAATTA